GATAGATAGATAGATAGATAGATAGATAGATAGATAGATAGATAGATAGACAGACAAATGAGAGACACATAGATAGATCAGGAAACTTACTAGGGGAGTTATGACTATGGAGACTGAGACATCTTAGGATGATCCATTCACAGGCTTTTGAATAAGGGGAGTTGGTAGAATAGTTCAATCCATGTTGAAATGCCTAAGATCTGTGGAGCTAATTGGGCAAGTCGAGAACTGAAGGTCAAAGAGTTTCAAACACTGATGCCCAAGGGCAAAAGAAGGTTGCAGCATGGGAGAGAAGGGAGGAAGAGAGGGAAAGAGGGTAGATGGGAAGAAGATGGAGGCGTGCGAAGGGAGTGGTGGAGAGATATTACCTTTTCTCTACTTCTTCATTCTTTCCAGATCTTGCATGTATTAGATGGAGTCCTCTGTATTGGATAAAGGTGGCTGGTGCATAGAATAAAACGACAATTTTTCTTTTCTTGAAAAACCTTCATAGGCATATCCAGAAATAATGCTTTTCAAGACATTCATATATCCCTTAGTTTTCAAGCTGGCACCCGTAATTAAGCATCACATCTGTCATGCTCAGTTATGTGACTCCATCTAGTAAGTCACCGTGAAAAGGGGGCTTCATCCTGACTTCCAGTTATCTCATCTACTCTTTCCAGGAGCCTTTGGGTCCCAATGCTGTTTTTTTTTAACTTGATACAAATCTAAACTTATCTAGAAAGAGAAAAATCTCAATTGAGGAATTGCCTCCCTTAGATTGGTCTATAGGCAAGTGCCGGGGGAGGGGCTCTTCATTAATGGTTGGTGAGCGAGGAGCCATCTCACTGTGGACACTGCTACCCCTGGACAAGTGATCCTGGGTGCTATAAGAAAGCAGGCAAGGCAAACAGTGGAGAGCAACCCGGTAAGCAGCATTCTTCCACGGTTTCTGCTTCTGTTCCTACTTCAGGTTCTTGCCTTGGCTTCCTTCAGCGTGCTATCTATGCCCTGGGATATGTAAGCCAAATAAATCCTTTTCTCCCCAAGTTGGCTTTGGTCAGTGTTTTAATCACAGCAATAGAAACCTAATTAAGTCACATTCCAAAAGCCAGACTGTATCCAAGGATTGCAAAATGAGCTGCTACATATCATCAAACCCAGAATCAGAATAGCATAGAGTTGAGACTGCAGAGGAATCAATCCAAAGCTTGCAAGTATGTACCCTTCCACACTTTTTACAAAACAGAAAAACTGTGAACAGTCTAAGAAAAATTATGGAAAATCCTTACAATGAAACAGTATAGAACTCCTGAAAAGCATAGCTCTAGAGAACTTTTGATAATAAATTTATGATGAATTTATGCAAAATGCACAACACAAGCTTCCAGGTTGTAGGTGTATTATGTTCTCAGCATTGGTAGATTCATATATGTCTAAACAAATGCGGGGGAGACAATACCAGAATGTTATTCACAATGATCTTCAGCATGTAAATATTTTCATTCAACAGTTTTTAAGATTTTTTTTCCTTAATAGATAAGTGCCTTGGTCCATTTTCTGTTGCTACAGCTGAATACCTGAATACTGAGAAGAACTGAAAACTGAATCCAGCTGGAAATTATAAAGAACAGAGGTCTGTTTAGCTCACATTAATGGATGCTGGGAAGACTAAAAGATGTAAGTGCTGAGATCAAGCAAATATATTGAAGAGAGCTGGCTTTTCTGACAAAGCCACTTCTGTAACTAATTAGCCCATTGCTTTATTAATGTAGGAATAGATTAATCCTTTTAGTAGACAGAGCCTTCTTGACCTGATCACTTGTACCCATCTCAACAATGCCGCTGCACTAAGAGTCAAATTCAACAAGATCTGAGAATAGAATGAACTGCATTTAGAAACTAACCGTGTGTACACAGAGTTAGTGGAATATGCCTGGAATCCAAGCACTCGGGAGGCAGAAGAATGGAAAACGGAGAGTTTAAGGCCAACCTGGGTTACTCAGTAGGATCCTATTCCAGCAAGCCAAAAGGTAATTAAAACACTTTTCATCATAAAAATAAAACATTTGAAGAGGAAACTCCAGATAATGAAATAAAAGAAATGTAGTGAGCCTTTGGTAGTCAGCATGTGGGAAGATGGGAGGAGAGTTGAGTGTCAGTGAGTCTGCACCAGCATCCTTACTCAGATGAGGAGGAGAAGGATTGGTGCTGCCTCTCAAGTGACTTCCTGTACAAACGCCTTTTCTTCTGATACTTGCAATATCTGCAGCAGGTGTCATTACTAGCCTTCATGATAGAAAGAAAATAAATTTGTATTAGCCACGTTAACTTATTTTCAATTACAGATCAATGGTTCATCACAATGAAAGTGTGTTCCCTGTTCACAGACTGTTTGGGGTATGGGCGCATTTTACATGCCATTTCAGGACCCAGATCCCTTCCATCTAGGGTTCCTTTCCCCTTCCTCCAGGTCTTCAGAGCCTCTTCACTCCAGAGGCAGGAAAAGAGAGAGAACAACTGAATGGGGGTGAGGCTGTGTAGGGTATGCCCACTGTAACACACCTTTGGCTAGAATCAGGCCCTATAACTACTCCTAGATTTTCCTGTGATTTTGAGGGGGAAAACGATGATCCGGGGAAGAACCAGCCATTTTCATCACAGTATCTCAAGAGTGTCAGACACAATGGTTGAAGATTACATAGCTGGGACCAGGCAGAGCAAAGACTCAGCATCAATACTGAGTCTCGGTCTTGCCCACCTAGTGATTGTGCCCTCTTCCAGGTCTTCAGAATTCTCTGCCATTCTCAAGTACCCTGCCACAAGTGTTCATTCAGGGCCCAGACCTCAGAATGATCTGGTGCAAATCCTCATTTTAAATATTTTTGAGGTTCCTCAGATCTATCAATAATTTCTGAATAATACTTTCTTCCCAGGTTTTTACCTGATTAACTTCCGCACTTCCCCATTCAATATTAACACCAAGCGTGGTACAATTCATTGCTGTGCTTATGATGTATCATCAAATTTATAGGTTTGTTTTCTCAAGAGTAAGACTTCAAAGATCTCTCTCTGGTGAGATCTGCTGCCACCAGGTGGAAGGCGAAGCTTAGTTTTGTTTCATGTTATGAGAACAGAATGCCTTTTCTTGGGGAGCTAAATGGGTAGAGAAATAGTTCGGGTGGGGAAAGTGCTTTCCTTGCAAGCATGAGGACCCAAGTTCAATCCCCAGAACCCGTGTTAAAGCAAAAACAAGCCAGGTGATGATGGATTTCACCTTTAATTCCAGAACTCGGGAGGCAGGGGCAGGGGGGTCTCTGTGAGTTTGTGGCCAGCCTGGTCTCTGTGAGTCCGAGGCCAGCCTGGTCTCCTAGAGCTGTTTCCAGGACAGCTAACATCTAGGACTGTTACACAGAGAAACCCTATCTCAAAAACAACAACAACAAAAAACAAACAAACAAAAACCAAAACCAGTCTGTATGGTGCTGGGCACTGTAATCTCAGCACTAGGAGGCAGAAAAAGGTGAATAGGTAAATCCCTGAAGCTCAGTGGCCAGTCATCCTAGCCTACTTGGTGAGTTCTAGGCCACTAGAAATACTGTCTCCTAAGAATACATGTGTACAACATGCCTTCTCTTTTCCACACACGCATGTGCCTTGCATACAGAGAGAAAACAAGTAAGTATTTATCTGGGTCCTGTGACAGAATATCCAGGTAGGGCTGCCACTGAAAGGTTTCGGGGGCCTTCTTGAAAGAGGCAATGCTTTAGCTGGATCTTAAATAATAAGTATGGAATGGCTACAGGAGTTTGGGGAAGGAGCAATCATCGAATCTGATTAACTTTTTAGGTAGTTTATAATTTGGTTTCAAAGTCCCTCTGTGAGTCCAAACAAAGGGCACTCTCACTACACTACAGAGACGATCTCACTTGGCTCTCATGTGTAGTAGATTTTCAGCCTCTAATAATATGTTCTTTCTCCCAGGGGAAGATAGTTCAGTTTATTCTGTCTTCTTTTAAAGAAACTGACCTTTGAAGGTCCCAACAGAACCTATTAAGTGTCTCTGAGATTACCTCACAAGCAACTGTACCAAACTGAAGTGTTGCTGAAGTTCATACACATTAAGCAAGAGAGAGATACTCATTGACATATGACATAGCAAATGTCCAGTATAGTCGGCAGTTTTCAGAAAAGAAGACAGGTATATTTTTCCATTCCAAGGGTCAGTTCTTCCATCTGCTATGACAAATGCCCTTCCTGGCTGGTGTCTCTGCCTGAGATCA